AGAGAGAGAGAGAGAGAGAGAGAGAGAACTGATGCGGGAGGGGGGGGGAGAAACAGGAAGTTTCATAATCCAAAAACACAGGAAACAAGAATCAGTACACAGGAAGAAGCCCAACATCCGGTGAGTCACAAACAAACGGGGAAAAAAGAGGCGAACAAATACCCAGGACAACTCCAACACGAGCGACCTCGTCTCTCGTTCTACCCTCTTCGTACACAAACAAATAAAACCGCCCTCGCCACCACTCAACTACACAAAGCACAAATATAGCTTTTTAAGCCACGAGTTACCCCAAACCGTTGGTGGCTCACGGCCCAGACATTTAACATTTGGCCAGGGCAAATCTGACGTCATTCACATTAGCGACGAAGCTTGTCGAACGATATTTCTCCAGATCATTTTTGTGCCCTGAACTTTGAGAAAAGCTGATTGGACGATAGCGTCCCCCTTATTCATCTGTCTTGAAGCACGACTCGCGCGTCCAAAAGAGACAACCTCGTTCCTCATGCGACGTGCCACCAGTGAAAACGACAAGTCTTTTACCGTAAAAGGCATTGTTCTACAAAGCACATTATGCAGCCCCCATCGGGTCAATGTGGATGAAACAGCTTCACTCTGTGTACGTGTGCGTCACTACACTGTCAACTCACAAACAGAAGGGACTAAAAAAAAAACCCACCCTTGAAAAACTGGACCGCCATAGAATAACAAGCAAATGTTCAACAAAAAACAAAACGACAACCCTCTACCTCCCCCCCGCCCCCCAAACTTTCCTTCTAACTTTTAACCACCAGGCTCCTCCAAAGATATGTTAAAATATCCAATGCAAAACAAAAAACAAAACAATGAACCAAATCAATGAAAAAACAATAACCCTGAAACAAACCCAAAACAAGACCAAACAATAAATGTCGTTTGCATGGGGGCGTGGCAGACTTCAAAAACAAGGGAATATCGTCAGAATAGATAACGTGCTAAGAGATAGAAACTTGTACAAACACAAATATGCACAAACACACACACACACATACCACACACACACACACACACACACACATGCCACAGATCAAATCGAGGTCAAGATCACCACAACAGCGACGATAAAACAACAGGACAAATATCTGGCCTATCGGAAAACACATTGTTCGGTTTCTAGTCTGTCTCGGGCCAGTTCAGCAAAAAATTATTTACATGGCACGTTCAGCGAGTAGACCTTTGTCATTGAACGACAAGTGCAACGGCCCATATAGTACAGTGCGTTTGGTTGTTTTTGAATAAAGAGGAGCACATCGACACAATAATGGTCATTTAGTGCTGGGCAAATAATAAGACAGACAGACAGACAGACAGACAGACAGACAGACAGACAGACAGACAGACAGACAGAAACAACAGAGGGGAAGTAAAGAAGTAGGACCTACCAGTGGCAGCCTCCAACCACCCACTAGTATACCGAGACAGAAGTTTTAACATTTAGTTTGGGTTAGAGTAAAGAGAAGCACATTAACACAGTAACGATCAGTTCAGAGCAAGAAAAAAGTAAAAGACAGGCAGAAAAAAAGGAGAAGAAGAAAAGCAGGACAGCCCTACCAGAGGCACCCTCCGCAAGAAAACATTAATTTCATTTCTCTTTCCGGTTCGAGAAAACTAGGATTGGTCAAAACCCTCAAGACGCATAACACACCCTGGGGCAAGTCAACGTAACACTGCTCATAACAGTTGAATTACAACCTTTCCGACATTTTATCTCGACTTATCATATCAGGATTAAATAAATACGGAAGACAAGATCTTTTCAGACAGCCACGCCTGTTTCAGGTCATGGGTCGTCTTGAGCAGGCCTCTTTCCACATTCTGCCAGCATTGGACGAGTCACGTACGCCATCTAGTCTACCTACAACTCCAGATTCTAGATTCATATCAACACAAAGCAGGAGTAAACATAGACACCCTAAACCCTCTTTAGTTTAAACAAAAATAAAGGCAGGGCTACCCCCCCCCCCCC